AGGATTCAAAAGTAGAAGCTCCTGAGGCCACACAAGTAGAAATCACTGAGGAAACACCAGCCGAAGTCATTGAGAGCCAAACTGAAGATATGGAAACGGACGAAACGACAAATTTGATTGATCAAGCCATTGATACACCGAAGGAATCCGATGTCCAAGAATCAACTTCTGAGTTAAATGAAACGTCAGAGACACAATTGCCAGATACAAACATAGATGCTGCTGATGAGGATATGCAAGTGGATGCCCCAACCGATGTAATCCCTGATGAAGTCTCTGATTCGTCATTGAACGAAGTAACCGGCCATGACCAAGAAGTCTCTCAACCCTCCAAAGATCAGAAGCAATCACCTATTGTTGAAAATGTATCAGAAGAAGACCTCGATTTTGAAAACATAGATAGCGCAACTGCTGCATCTAATGAACCATCAAGTTCAATTACTAATCCCACGGAAACACCGGTTACTGAGGATGAGTTTGACATGGTTGATGACCATGATGTCCCTTCAAGAAATAGCCCACAGTCAGAGCAATCACCGTCGATCGAAAAACAAACTTCATCCAAGCCAATTCAGATACCAATACACTGGAGTGAAAACTAACTTGTTCTTGAATTCACCCACGATCCGAATTGTGTTGTATAATAATTGAAATAATAAATGAAGTTTGTATAATATTGTAAATGAAGAGCAAAGTGTTACAATTGGTACTTGTCGTCACTAAAATTATAAAATGTCAGTTCCACCAACCCCGATTCAATGGGACTTCTTCATCAACGAAGTCACATTGAACATCCTCTTCAACTAAATTTTACATTTTAAACCTCACAAGAAGTTCACTTGTCTGCAGGATGTTACATTTATTTATACAGTATTCAAAACGACATATTAATGTACAAAAAAATGCTTCGCACCAGATCGAAGAACGAAAAATACACTGTATAAAAATACGACAAAAAGAAGTGCTCCACACCAGGATCGAACTGGTGACCTTCAGATTATGAGACTGACGCGCTGCCAACTGCGCTAGCGAAGCTTCCTTGCTGAAGAAGACCAGTAAATAAGTTAAGTTCTTAAAAATAAATTGAAATCACACTGTAAATCAGGTGTTTTCTGGAGTTTCTTACTGTCAGTCAAAATATTCCCGTGGATCTTTTTCTTTTGCTCATTGGCATAAATTTTTATTTCGGCATGTGAACTTTATGATATACATATTCCTGGAATCTTTTGACTTTGGCATTTCTCAATCGGAGCATAAAGTTCACGTGACCATTCGACTGCGTAACCCAGCTCGTATCTTGAAAAGGTGATCGAACCTTTAATCTCTATTAAAGGAAGATTTAATTGATATAGAGGGTATATATTCCTGTTTCTCGCATTTCCTAGGTGCTGAAACGATGTTTCCCGAGTACTGCAGTTCGGTAGCAATACACGACTCGCATAGTTTTACCCGGTGGTTTTTATGGTTTTTAAAACAAAGAGAAGAAATACTTCTATTGCCCAGAGTGCATGTCATTGTGAACTTCAATTTTGCCTCAGCGATTTGAAAGATTGGTGCTCAAAGTAGGTAAAGTATAATATATTAGGACATAGATTCAGAGTGAGATTAATTACATCATCATATAGCTGTTATGTGAGCATGAGTACAGTGTAGTTTTCCGTTCGGCTGTATTCCCTCCTATTGTGTATATGTTAAGCGCTTTTTTCGTTGGATTTATTTTTATTGTTACTATAATATAAGTGTTTGCATTCCTCGCGTGGACACTGTCCAAATTGCTATAGTCACCTTTCCAATTTATCGTATAACGGTCTGAGTAGGACTTGGGTGGTAAGAACCAGGATTTATACCGTGATTCCCGGAAATAAACCCTTTGCTCTACCCAGTTTCTCTCCTCGAAACAATTAATCTGACATCGCACTTCTTACGTGCATTCATTTATACAAACTTGGATTCGATTGAAGATGACAAAAGCTCAGTCATTGTTTCTCGTACTAAGCTTGATAAGCCAATGCTTTGCATGGACTGCGCTCATTCCGGTATCTAACTCATCCAGCTACATATTTCTGAAGCAAATGAAGATCTTTCCGAATGCAATGACGGTCTGCGATCGTGATACGACATTTCCTCATTGCGACATAAGCCTGAACCGGAACTATGAATATAGGACGCTACCAGAGAAAACCATGGATATGTTCAAGAAAGCCATAGACGTTCTACCCAACGAAAATGTTTTTTTGAAGTATGACGACGATGTAATTGTGGACTATCAGTATGTTCTTGATGTGGTCAAAGATATTGAATCCAATGGTCGCTTGTATTTCGGAGACCCAATGGCATGCATGGGAGCAGCTACGGGCCATAATGACGCCAGATGTATGAACGGCAAGTTCTATGGAGTATCAAGACCTATCGCAGAATGCTTTGCCAATTTGGTAGAGGACTCGGACATCGTTACCTCCTTGGAAGATGTTTTCTTTGGAAGCACAGTTTGGGCAAAGTGCAAATATCTTGGATTTCAGTACGAAGCCAGCAATGAATCGCTTATTTGGCATAAGCTTTATCAAAACAGAAACAAGTGTGCAAGCTTAGCATTCAAAGGTGATCACCAGACCTGCATGGCAGCTAGTGGGATTTACTGATACCGCTATAAAAATTCAACGAGAATATTTCGGGATACCCAATACGGCTTTAATCCATACCCCCAAAATCTGTACAGCTACAACCTCTCTAGGCACCATTTATTCTCGTACATTCAGAGACCCTATTTGAATTAAAACACGATTTGTACATTCACATATTATTGTCTGATGGATTATGAGTGGCCAAATCGTCACTACCAGATTGTTCAGGTGTTTTGGTGACACTATCATATTCTGGCGTTTGTAGAAATTCGTTTACTGAAGGCGTTTCTTCTTGAGTAGGAGTTGTCGCCATCATCTCATTGAACATGAAGTCATTATCATCAATTGCGTTAGATTGACCTATAGAAACATTAGATCATATGCACAACCTTCCATATCACGCAACTATATGTGGCTAGCTTACCCTGGGTTTGCCATGAAAATTCAACCTCCTTGTTACTGTCCTCAACATGTTGAGTGGATGCCATCAATTGAGCTTCAAACTCGCTCTCTAGTTGTGGTTCGCTGTTGATTTGAGAGTCCACCCCAGGCATGGAGTTCACGTTTCGGATCAAGTTGGATGAATGATCTGGAATGGGATCTTCCGCCTCTAATCCTGGTATTTGAACATGATGAACGAGCTCAGCATTATGCTCAATCTTCAGATTTGTTGATTCTTCCATGATTTTCTGTGAACGCGAAACACCCTATTTCCAACCAATTTTAGCATCGCAGATGACGGCGAAACCATTACGCATTCAAAGATAAACCCACCTCTAAATCAGAAATATCCTTGACCTCATTCATATTTTTCCAGAAGCCATCTATTCTCTGCCTTATAGAGTTGAGTTTCTCGGTATGTTGTTCTTTCGATCGTGCCATTTCGTCCTCCGTCTCCTTCTGCTCGCATCAGGAAAATCTTTAATATGAGATCATGCGCAATTTCAGTACCTTTGATTCACTTACAATAGATTGTTTGAGCTCTTCCTCTGACTTTGACAAATTGAATGGTGGTGGAATAATGGAGGCTGTTATCAAAGGTTAGCTCGTTTGCACCTTTCTGTTTTGAACCGTGTCTTAATACTTACACGATGTATAAGGTGTAAAAATTTCAGACAAGTAATCGTGGTTACGCTTATATCGTGCCATTGCAATATCTCTAGTAGAAATATCGTCCAATTCGTCTATATCACGCAACTATTAGCGAAGAGGAGGCAAGTTGAGATTATGAAATTTCACTGTAGCTTACCACCAGAGGGTTCGTCTGCTTCTTCATTTTGAGGGTGTGGCCCAGAAGGTTTACTCTATTTAAAACGTCCATTTAAACTCTGCTAAACAATCTTGGTCACTCTCCAGCATTTTGAAGTTACCTTGCTAGGGGTGCGCTTTCGCATTGCTGCTGGATCTTGAACTGGCACTTGTCCTCGGTATTGCGGCTGGCCATAAGGTTGCATCCCCATAGGTATTTGATTCATATTGTGCATTGTTGGCATATTGGGATTTTGTGGATTCCCTGCTGCAGGGTTGTAATAGTAGGCGGAGGCCATGATCGATATAAATGGTATGGATGGTGGATTGAGATTTTATCGCGTACTTTCAGTCAACCTGGCCACCGTCCAAAGTCACGTGCAATATCTGCCCCTGCCCTGCCTTCGTTTTCATGTCGTTGTTTGAAAAAGTTGGTGCCTTGATGGGCTGTCGTGGTTTTGAGTTATGGCATAAGAGATTTACAATTTAAAATGACCTGCGCTGAGCTGGTCATTTCGAAACACATCAAGCGTACGTCAAAACTTATTTGATATGATAATTAGTGTTATTTAGCAATGTCATTCCCTCAAGCAAAAAGTTTGATAGGATTTATTCAGTTCAATGAAGTAAAATCCCGCCGTCTGATAACAAAAACCAATTCAAACAGAAGCCCCATCAATCAGAGTTAGTGCTGAAATAAAACGCAAGTGATTAATGTACAAGTTGCTACTCCTACTGACTTTGATGTTAAATACATTCATTCGTACAATGCTATGAGGGAGGTTTTGATTACTCTGCAGATGATACTGGCTACTATGTTAAACAGTCCTCAGGCGATACGCACAGAAGCATTGGATTAGATGAATGTCCCGTGCATCAAGAGGTGAACATGTGACCGCTTCCAATGAAAAAATTGTATAAAAAATTGTTCACGTCATGACATCTTATACTGCTACAAAAAAGATGTGAGCGGAGGCTATGGACGGAGAAAATTGCGATCTTCGTTCGTAAAAAAATTCAATAGTCATCATGGCATTATGACAGAGGGTCAAAAGTCGCATCCAAAGCCTAGTGTATCCAGTTTCTTCCCCCAGACTCTAACGGTTGATGACGTCGACCCGAGTGGAAACCCGCCGCAGCGAGAATCGAACCCGGGACGTCGAGATCAACCGTGAGTTAGGGGAGTAGTTCTAAACCACTAGACCACAATGCGGCCTTATAAATTTACTACATTGTGACATGATGATAACTATGACTTTTACGAACAAAATCGCCATTTTCTCGACCCCTAGTCTCCTTACAGCCTTCATTTAACTTTCATATCATATCTCTATTTTATCTGCATACATCCATAGCACTCGTATTGTTCTACAGTCTCGAGGGGAGGGGAAAATAGAGAAATAAACGTCTCACCGCTTGAAGAAAAGTCGGTGTAACAGAGTAGCTGTGCGCACAGACCTTGTGTATGAAGAATGTGGGGTAAATTAGAGCTGTTTTCGAGCGAAAGAGCGTGTTTAGTGAGCTTTGAGGGCTTAACTTTGTTTAAAGGGACTGTTTATTTTGCGTCTAGGCGTTTCATCGTGTATCAATCGCGTGTATGCCCTCCAGTCATCATAGTAGATGAAGATACAGACAGTATATATTGGGCAAAAAAATCAGGCGTAGAGGAGAGCTTGAGTTAATATCCTATACAGAAGCATAGGAGGTTGAAGGCTTATATAATTTTTAATTTTTGCACACTGTGGTACGCTTAAGCGGACGTAAAGCCGTCTAAGAGTAATATATTTTGTGGTTCACTGATCTGCAAATGCAAATTACCGTTGACAGATGAGCTTGCATGGCAGGTGTTTTAGCATAATGACCCATATGAACTGAAATGTGATTCTACCAAATGAACCGTGATGCACCTTGTTGCTGGAAGTGCGGTTCTTTGGTGGCTTCGAGAAATATGGTGTGTCCGTTACTAAATGATTAATCGTCTCACGTTGCAAAAGCAGACTTATTTTGGTAACTATGTGGATATTCATTCTCATATTTCACCTGAGGGAAGAGACGTTATAATCGAGCGTTTCTCGTTGCCTAGGTGTTAATACAATCTAATTCTTCCTCTATGCATGCCATTGTTACTTATTGTTTATTGCATTATGGAATATAAGAAAAATTGAAGTGTTATCAAAGATAGGAACCATAAAATTGACTAAATGCTGCATGTAAACCATTGATGGAATTGATGGATAAGCGAAGCAATCGGGAAAAGCCGACTGATTTCCCATCTTATACTATTTTAATGATTTATAAAGTTGCTCTTGACGTATAAGCAATCAGCGCAAACTAGACTGGCATAGACGCATTATTTTAGAATGAAAACGACTATATAACGATTATAACTTTAAGAAATTAATGATTTTAGCCGTGTTATATACAAGGTCTACTCACTATATATGATATAAATGATCACTGTATTTTTCCAAAAGCCATTATCCACCACGAAAAGAGACGTAGAACGTGCCCAAGTCGTGCATTTGTTGGTAGCTGACCAATTGCGTTGGGTGATGGGAAAAGAGCGGTAACATGTACGACAGTATCCTTTTTAAGTTTATGTGTTGGAATGCTCATGGTTGGGTCTGTTTCAATCACAAACCAATCCTGAGCGCAGACAAAGGTTACGACAGTGTATAGACCAGTCCCATATACCCTTGATGAATTTAGACTTTGTACCCACCATAAAGTGCGACGTCAAAGAAACAAACCACATCTAACGAATACACGGATTTTAACAAAGGCAATGATTTAATTATGTTATCTCTGGTATTGCTGGCATCTTCTTGGAACACTTCAAGCCAGCTACCAAATTATATAAAAAAAAAAAAAAAAAAAAAAGAAGAACAGCCTGTCCCTGTAAATGATAAATTTCAACTTTGGCTTAGACTTTCAAGCATTGACGCTATTATATGCTTGATTTAGGCCAGTTTTGCAATGCCTGAAAGTTAGATTGAAACAAAATAGATTCAAGGAAGACATAGAAGAATTCAAATGTTTGAGGTTTAAGGCTTTGATACGTCTTCGACCGTTATTGCTGGGAAATAAACTATGCATGAGTAAAAGTTACTACTCTGCTATCAAACTAAGAGCGTACTGCCAGTTGGTGAAATTAATCTCGGTTTCCATATTCAGGAACAACAAGATTGAAGTTTGAACAGTGATTACAAAATTCTGATGCTAGAAAGTTCATGGTCAGCAAACGCGGTTATTATGAATATCATGGGGAAGGCGAAAGGAGAAGAAACTCCAGCTACTTGTGAGGCACCTTTTTGTTGAGTTTTTACATTGGAGTGCAATCCAATAGCAGATTTCTCCGAGCTCAAGGCAATCTTAAAATCTAACAGTGGGCTTCTAATAATATAGGTGCAAATCGCTTTTTCTTTGCTAAGCCGAGAAATCGTCATACCAATAGCATCCAGGAAATGAAGGTCAAAAGGGGAGGATACACAAAGCTGATGGCTGTCAGAGAGTAACTCACTTTATGTTGGCTTTTAGGCAATTTGATTTGAACATATTCTTCGTTACAACTTTCGACGAAAATTCAAACTATTACCTCCAACATCCACGAAAAATACATTAATCAATTTCCTTCCTCCAAGATCATTTATAGGCTGGCGCTTGCCCATCAAACGAGAGGTTATAAACAGGTCAACATGTATATAGTCGGAAAACGATATCAAGTTTCGAATGCCTGGTGAAGCGATATAAATTTGTAACCATGTGTGTTAGGTAGCCTTTACCATTCAATGCGTATTAAAACCAACACTCATTATTACGCGGCAACTGGTCACAATCGGAACTGTTCGGTTATCTTAATAAGGGCGACTTAGGAAATATGCTTAATCATGATCAGGAACGTCATAGGTGAGTTTACTCGCTGGCAATGGAGGACCATTGGGATCGATTGAGATGTGTCAAATGTATGGGGAATTTACGTTGGCCGGAATAATAATATCCGTGTATCTCTAATGCCTCAATGGTTATCTATAGCTTTCCTAAATTTTTTAGCCATGGTATTTGGGAAATTACAACGGAATGGTAAATAGCAGAGTGTGCTTGATTCACATCCTTTGTAAACATAGAGTGGCATGAAGACCTCTCGACAAAGTGATATGAACCTGTAGTGAATCCAAACAGAAAAAATTTCGTGTGAAGTGAGCTGAGTCTGCAAAATGCTCAATCTTTTGTGCCCGTCGAAATTTACCAGCCCCGTTACCGTCGCTTTCCTTTCAACGTCTCCGACAGGGCATTTTACCAATGCATGCTCACATTATCGCTGTAATCAAATCCAGACGCTGAAATTCCAACAATAACCGCTACAGCATAGTAAAAGAGATTTTTTGTACTGTTTCTTATCAAATATTGACGCCATCAGCATATGGAAGATCCGCAACTTCTTCTCTCCCAAGCCGCCAACGCTTTAGACGGAGGTAATACCAAGGTATGTTTTGCAAAGTTTCTTACATCATAATTGAACGCTTAACAAACACAATTATGAAACGACTCGAAGGATGCATATTTGGGATACTTAGGCGCTATGGAGGTCTCTTTGCAGCAGCTACGAGAAGCCAAATTTGTCCATCATTGTAAGTATCACCTGATATTTTGGTGAAAGCTGGGTGTTGATGAAGTGGTTATTAATATCGCCTTTTCAGCCATAGTATCTCACCCGGCACATTATGAAACGCTGGTGCTGACGATAAGGTCGAGCTTGGACAGTTTAGATTCGATTGTACTAAAGCGTCATGGGGCGGCATCGCCTATTCAAACTCACGCCTCCGGTAGTATCCATACTCATCGCACTGGATCACCTGTCTTGGACAAAAAATGGAACAACGTATCCAATGGCCATACACGCCACTCATCACATTCTGAGGATGATTCTCAAAGCATTGGCAGCGACCATAGCTCTAGAGCGAAGTCTCCACCTTTGATACCACCAAAACCTACTAGGATGCAAAAACCTAGTGTCGCACCAAAGCCTATATGGAAGCCACCACGTTCGATCTCACCGCCTAGCACACAAACTCCGGCAGCGCTTGATCGGTCTGCGATAAGCTCAATATCGTCAATAACGTCTACAACTCCCACATCCACTCCACTACTAACAGATCCTCCAATCAAGAGACCCGTTCCACTACCTCCAGCCATCTCTACATCAACGTCAGCCTCTACACAACGACTGAAACTACCAAGTGCTATTGCACGGTCCGCCTTAAAACAAAGACCTAGAGCAAGTTCTGTGAGTTTTGCAGATCAAACACAAGCAGATCAATCCTCGGAAGACAACGACAGTACACAGCCTACTACCCCCGTACAAATCATTGAAGACGACGACGATGACGACGACGACGAGGAGGTCGATTTTGGTTTAGCGGAAGGTGAAAGTCATTTCCATTAGCGTGTATTCACGATATTAATTATGGTACAGGCATTAACGCTGTAGGGTGGCCATTTATTTTTAATCCAACAGAAAGTAGCTCTCAGCATTTGCTGCGTCGAATTTCATCTCCTAATCTGTACAGTATACGTGAGAAGCCCACATCAAGACCGTTATCGTCGTCCGTTCCATCACACGGAATTAGACCTAAAACTATGGATTTGTCGTCTTCTGAAGACTCAGGCATGAGCACAATAAGAATCGTGGCAGAAGGGCATGTCGACCCTACTGACCTAGTTCCGGCACAGACAAATCCAGGGGACAGTCTGGCACCTCCCACCTCATTTGGTGGTCAGCCGTCTGATTACGTGCCAAATATACCTGTACCACCATTGTTGACCACCTATCGCAACATTCAGCAGAAACTTACAAAGGTGGAAGGCAAGCTGAATAATCTAAAGACAAGAAAGCAGCAAATGCTCAAAAACGAGTCATTTACGTGGAGCCAATCTTCCGATGAAGATGAGGATATGCTCATTTATCCAACTGAAGAATCTATCAACGACGCCATATTTGAGTATACTTCTCTCACTGCCGAGACGAAGGATACTCTCAACAAAGTTAGAACGCTTTATATGAGTGCCGCGACAGTGCCAACTATTACACAATTTCCACCTCATTTGATTGCATATCAATTGACTTTGATCGAATCCGCCATCTTTGCAGAGATTCCCCCCGATGCGTTACTATATCATTCAGCGCGTACTCCACACGCAAGAATCGTCTCATCAAC